CTCAGTGAGAGAAACTAAACACAGCCTCTGGCCCACTCAAAGAGTGGGAGATAACTCTCTGACTTCTTTGTATCCAGCTGCGATTGGAAGTCAAGTGGAAAAGCAAGACAAGATGTGCTGCAAAGAAGACAGGCAGCCTTAAGAAACGGGAAGGGCTTTAATTAGCTCTTGTCTGGGCTAAACGGGCCAGAAAAGTGAAAAAGGAATGACTTATTCTCTAGAAAGAACAAGATTAGTTCTTGTCTGGTGTACTTAGCAGGTATCAACAGACACTCGATAAAACAATGTCTTCCACTTCTCTCTCCCTCCCCTTCAAGCCTTTGAAAATTTACTTTATCAAAATTGTAGCCGAACTGTGTTGTCAGGGAAGTTCCGAGTGCAATCAGTTTGGACTAGTGAGGTAGCCAACTTGAAATCCTTTGGAACCACTCATGTTACGCACATCCCACCACGAGGGGGGCAGTATGCCAAATAGAGTGTGGCCCCGGGGTTCAAAGTGCTGGTCAACAGGAAGATGGTACCCTTCAGCCCAAGGTGGAGATCAGAGCCCTGGCTTTTCCCTGATTCAAAAAGTAAAAGAAAATAAAATCCCAGTTGAATGAGGCTTTAAAGGCATTATATCCAGCTCCTTTGAGAAATTAAAATTCTTCACAAACATGTGTCCCACAAACGTACATACACACACATGCACCTGCCCCAGTTATTTGCCAAACAGCACAACGTGCTTCTTTTATTTAAAAGGTGATCTTTTTCTGTCGATGTTTGGCTTCATTTCTGAAGGGGAAAATCCCGGCCGAATGAATTCCAGGTTCATGGTTCACTTGCTCTCTGGAGGAGCTTCCTGGGGAATGATATGGAAACTTGAAGGTAAGTAACTCAGGTGGAAACTTGCTGTGGTGAACACTTCTATCCTTCACTGGCCAAGGTCACCAATTTCTCTTTAATTGGGTGGCTGCCTGGAGCACCAGAGTGCTTCTGCCCCAGAGAGACTGTCTCCTCGTGTGTGCCTTTCTCACCTGCCACAGATGGTACTTTCTTCTTAAAGGTCCCCATGACATCCATGCCTACTTCAAAGAATCTGAGGCTCAGCACTGCTATCACTCATTTGCCTGTGTCCTCACCGAGTTGCCAAGACTATATGTTGGAGGAAGCATCTTCAGCCTAACGCCTGACACATAGAAGGAGCACATGGCTGAACGTTGGTTGAATGAATGACTGAGTGCATGACTGTCTTACCCATCATTGCATCCCACGCAGTGTTTAAGTATTCTAAGCACAGAATGAATTTATGTTGCATCAGTCCATTTTTGAGAACATATTTGGCGACCCTGCTGTCTAAAGCAGGCTATCTTGTGACCAAGCCCTTTGGAATTTGCAGAAGCCAACTACTCTTTTTGTAAACTTGGATGTGTTTTGGAACTTTTCCTTTTCCTTCTGAAAGCTTCGGAGAGAACTTGGGTATCAAAGAGAAGAAATGGTGCGTATTGGGTCCATGGGTTTGTACCCAACGGCTTCCTTGAGCCTGCCCCAAGGGAGGGGCAGCTGGGGGGGGTGCATTCCAAGGCGGCCAGGGACAGGCTTTCTGTGGGAGGGAAGGAGGAAGCAATGGAGGAATGGACCCAATGGCCCTCTGGTGTGAGGATGAACACAGTCTGTGTTGTGAAAGACAACCAGCTCACATCTTACCCAGCTCCTTGAGAAATGCAAATTCTTCACACACATAACTGTAAAGTGTCCTAGTTTACTCCTTGCCCCCTGCTAAGGGCCCTGGGCACATCCTCTGCAGCTCACCATACTGCCAGGTGGCAAAGTAAAAGCAGCAAGATCTTCAGGTACAGCACTGCCACCTGATGCAACAAAATATCCTTTATCTACAGCCTGTTGACCACTCAACTTCAAAATCAATAAGAGTGACGGATGCCCGGATGGCTCAGTGGTTGAGCGCCTGCCTTCGGCTCAGGGCCTGATCCTGGAGTCTCAGGATCGAGTCCTGCATTGGGCTTCCTGCAGGGAGCCTGCTTCTTTCCCTGCCTGTGTCTCTGCCTCTCTTTTTGTGTCTCTCATGAATAAATAATCAAAATCTTGAAAAAAAAAATCAAGACGAGTGATTATTTTCCAGATAGTAACAAAAAGGGATGATAATGTTAAAGATCAGTGTTTCTTCATCTGGAAAGAAATGAAGGCCATAACGAAAGCCTCTGAATACCCTGTTGATGGCTCTGTGGTGGCATCCAGGACCCTGAGATCACTGTCCAACGACTAGATTGAGATCAGGTCAGGGAAGGGACCCAGTCTTCTTCTTCGTGTCCCCAGAGCTCAGTACAATACCAGGCACAAAGTAACCAGACAACCCATGTCTTTCCAGTGAATAGCTCCTGATGCAGGAAAGGGGTAGTATACACATGGACCCATCCTTCGAATTCTAGAATTCCACACTAGGGATTGTTTCTCTAAAACCTGAAGGAGCCATTCTCAGAGGAACTAAAGGAAAGGGGACTTTACATGGCATCCTGTCCCTCATTCAGCAAGTGCCGCTTGACTTTCTTTTGTACCTACTCTTGGCAGGCAGCAACCACAGAACACAGGGATGAAGGGATTAAGCCTGAGTCCAGCTTGGCCACAGGCCAGTTGAACGGCCTTGGGCATGTCCCTGAACCTTTCTGGGCTTCAATTTCCTCATTGAAACAAAGCCTAAACTGGTGCATAATTCTAACATTCTAGCAGGATCTGATTTAAAAAATAGGCAGCCTGGGTGGCTCAGCAGTTTAGCACCACCTTCAGCCCAGGGCCTGATTCTGGAGACCCAGGATGGAGTCCCACGTCGGGCTCCCTGCATGGAGCCTGCTTCTCCCTCTGCCTCTCTCTCTCTCTGCGTCTCCCATAAATAAATAAATAAATAAATAAATAAATAAATAAATAAATAAATAAATAAATAAATAATATATATCCAGTAGAAAATACAGATTTAAGAAGAGTTCAGAAAAAATGTGTAGAATAGCCATCTGCATCTGGTTAACTGCTATGCTAGGTCACAAAACCTCCTCCAGGGATGGACGGGACACTGGACAGCCCCTAAGTGGCAGCTGTCATGTTCAAGATACACATTGTACTAAGATGAAAGGATGCATATGGCCTTGCAGGCCTGGCTCACAAAGCAAAGTAAGATCTGGGTCCTGGGGAGGAAAACATCTCAATGTGGCCACGTGGGTGCCTCTCAACTCGACTGTGATCTTAACTGCACTTCCAAGTGGACCTTTTCATCTTTCTGGCTATATTCAGAGTCATTAAGTGTCCCCAGGAATGCTTTATAAGAGAACCATGGCAGGAATTATGCCAGGGGCAGTAGGAGAGATGAAAGCAGAGCTGGAGAAGGATGCCATAATCAGAGATTTGGAGCAGTGGGGTTGTAGAGTAGTTGGCTCTAAAAGAGGAGTGGGAGGTTTGCCTTCTGTGTGTTCATTAGAGATCTCTAGAAAGAATGGATCCCCGGTCCTGGATGCAGAACTAACCCAGGCAGGAACCATAATAAGCCATTTCGTGAGCCAACCTATTAGAAAGGATATAGAGTGTCCTTCCTTTTGCTTCCTGTTGGATTCTATATAAACAAAATCTCAGGGCAAATGGCAACGAGGAAAAGGAATGCCTGAGGCCATTTCTGGGTCGTCCCTGAGCCTGAGAACACTCTGCAGCCTGAGGCTCTGAGCCAGCGAGTGCCACATCAGTTGGCTGGTCACTCCCTGTCTGGACAGCTTGGCCATCCCCTTCCAAACCCCAACACAGCCATTTAGACGTCCCTTTCTTTCCACTTCATGATTATGGTTGTTTCGCGGTGTTTGACTTTCTCTGCATTAGGAACGCTCACAGGGAAAGGTTGTCATCTGAGTTATCTTTTTCAGTCTAGGGGCTCTCCCTCAGAGTCCCCTGACAAACAGCCAGGGAGCCAACTTCTACTTAGCCGCAGTTGTGAAGCATGATAAGCAAGGACGGCCACAGGTGAAGGATAGAGCTGCAGATTTCAGAGACCCATGGGGGCTGTGGTTGCATTTCTAGAAAATCCCAGGATCATTCTCAGTCTCAGCTTGTCATCTCTGGAAGGAACCCCCAACCTGTCATCTTTGCCCTGTGTTGCATGGATCAGACAAAAGAGTGTGCGTAGGGGGCACTTGTACAACACAGAGCCCTTGATCACTTCTCCTTCAGTCACACGCAGAAGGATGTCAGCATATTACTTATTTCAAGGGGGCTGGTTCTCTTCTTGACAGCAAACAATGCCAGAAGGAAAGAAGTAGAAGATGGAGGGAGATGCAGAGCAGGAAGGAATGGACAAAAGCTTCTCAGCACCTTGGAGCCTTTACAGTGTATCATAGATGTGTGGACTGCACTCATGTGGTGCTTTTCAGCAGGGGACTTAGAGTTATTTTGCAAAGTTCTGCTTGTTTAGATCCCTAATAAATAGAACTGGAGCAATCAGAATGGTCCCAGACAGAAAGTGAGCCAGGGAATGCCTGTTTCTGAAAGTGATGTCAGATGCATTTAATTTGAAAGTATCCCCAGGGCCTGGAGCAGAACCGGACACATGGGAGCCTCTCAATACAGATTTGTTTGATAAATGAATGGCTGAATGATTGAACGGACTTATTTCTGATGGTTGCTCCAAACCTTTCAATCTGATTAAACATCTACTAGTTCATGTAGCCACGTCGAGGGAAAGAAGCTTTAGCCCAGCACAAAAAGAACCTACTCCTCACTTTAAACGCCTCTCCGAAAAAAAAAAAGTGTATTTCAATTGAGAACACCCCAGCTGGTCCAATTGTCCTGGAAGCTTGCTCGGGTTTAAAATGTTCAGATTTGCTCTGGCAACTCACACGTAGTTCATGTAAAATTTCCTGATGGCAATTCATTGAAACATAAGGAAAAGGACTTGGTGTACAAATTCAGTGATCAGCCCCGTAATTGGTTAAAATCAGTAGAAATCAAACATGTTCCAGAATTTCTGAAAGGTCAGTTAAGCCAGGTGTAGGTTTATCAGACAGTTGTTTTCTTCCAGTGGAAAGTGAGGCCCCGCATACTTTAATTTTGTTCCTATAAGTCTGTGGTTGGACAACCGAGGTTCAACCCGCTTTTTATTTTCCGGATCTAACACTTCCCTAACTATTCATTTCAACTCACCAAGCCTGGGTTGAACAGTTCCCACGTGCCTGGCCTTGTGCTGGGTGCTCTGGGGGACACGGCCATATTTTTTATTGACTCAGGAAAACAAAAAAATTCATCACCAGCTAACGTGTTTAACAACAGAGAACATCCGAGAGGCAAAGTTCGGATGACATGCTGCTTACAAGCACCAACGGGCCTGGATTTATTCAGTAATAACAACAGGACCGAGAACACTGTTGTAAGAGGAACCTCCCTGCCCATACCACGCGGATGCCAAGGCATTTATTGAGCGGAAGGATTGCCTAACAGTAGCTATTTAGTGTGATAATGGCGTTTGATAGTTTGGACACAAACACCATTGTCACACTCCACAGCTCTGCTAAGGAAAATCTGTAGCCGAGAGGGTGCTAACTCCACCTCTGCACTCCACCATTGCCACTGATCGCCATCAGGGAAACTTGCCAGCTTCATAAAGTGACCTGAACAGAGAAAAGAGGGATCATGAGTCAGGGGTTGGGGGGAGCATCTCGAGCCATGGAAAGAGATAAAACCACCAGGCTTCTGTGTCTGGAACAGTTGAAGGTAACAGAGGGACCCGTTGCCTGGTGTTCTGTTACCATCCCACGAAGGCCTCCCACCAATGGGACGGGACGGAAACTCCCTAATGGAAATGGAAACTCTGTTTGCAACAATTTTCTAAGAGGGTTAAGAGAGAAAGCATCCCTAGAGGGAATTGATTTTAGGAAACAAAGACTGAGTGAAAGGCCGTATTATCAACTGTAGGAATATGACCAGATTAACGGGCCCTCCTCACCTCCCACCCTTCCCTCCAACCCAATCTTTTGTCAGTAAATATAGTAAATTCTGCAGTCTAAGGAAATTAGAATGATTTTGTCTGGGGATATAGCATTTGGATGTGCTGTGATTTACTCTCAGAAACATCTATTGGATACCAAGGTATCCGATGGTGCTCAGATTTTAACTCTTACTTGCCTTGGTCATTTCCACCAAAGTAGAGGGTGAGACAAGAGGGGAGGTAAGAAAAGAAGAGAAAGGGAGAGAGGGGAGTGGTTCAATTTTTTTGTTTATAATATTCATTTTCCAGCAAAAGGGAGCCTCCTATGAATAAATCCCTTCTGTTTTCCTGGCTTTCCTGTTAAAAACTGATATATGAACTCTTTCCCACCATGGAGAGTGGGAGGAAATAAATCATTTGACCTAATCCTTTATTTTCCCCTAAATGCTAGAAAAGGGGAAGCTTGGGGGCCCGTTTATTTTTCCCCAGGGTAACTGAGATGTTAACCTTTGACCAGAGCTTTGCTTTGGCCATAGAATTAGCTCATTCTTAACAACTAAACATACACCATTCTACATTTTTTTCAGTAAAAACGGCTCTTATTCATATGCAGACCATGAAATCACCCTCTTTGACTCAGAATGTGTAGTTATTGGCACACTACAAAAGTCTCTTGGTCTTCAGGGGATGGGATGTTGAACCCTGCCTCTTTTCTCCCTTACCTTCTTGACGGTGTTGACTTCCTTATCCTCCTAGGAAATGACTGACTTCCTTTGGTTCCAGTCTGTGACTCTCACTTGCCCTGACAGGGTGTGGTCATTTGCAAGGTAGCAGGAGCGTGCCATTTGGCCCACTGGTACACCTGCTCTCTTCTGGGGGGAGCTCTTCACCTGGGCAGTTTTGGCGTGACTTGCACCAAATACAAACTCTAGAATTCCAGCTGGCCCCAGTCACGCCAACCCTTGGCACTCTGGGCACAGCCATGGTGGACATACTCTTGTGATTCTTCCCCAGAGCCGGGCTCATCTGCTTTGTCTTTGTCTGAGCAACTTACAACAGAAACCCTCACTTCCTGGTCACTTTTGTGATGTTGCTGACCATGACAAGAGGCTCCAGAAATCTCTTGGCCTCAGTTGGAAAGAGTCACTGGGTGGTGAACAATTCACTGGTTAGAAAGGTCCAGGGAGGACATGCTTGGAGAGCTGTCCGCGGGCAAGGGCTTGGGCCCATTTCACCTCTCAGGACTTGATGGCACTTCTCCAGGTGGGCTCTGTATGCTTGAGGTGTCTTAATAATCTGCAAATGAAAGAAAAGGAAAGGAAGAGTAAACAGAGAAGAGAGGAGAAAGTTAATGGGTTTCAGGTAAAGCTTACAAAACCCCTCCATTTATCAAAACCTCTATCTCTCTTGTCCAAGGAATTTATCTCAAGCAAAAAGCCCTTGGATTTGTAGAAAAGATTTTCTTTTCTACCGATTTCTATACAGATTTACCTATAAGGTTGTCCACGGAGGCACTGTTTATAATAGCAAAAAAGGCAAACAATCCAAATGATAGGAAAAGGGTAATAATATATTTATAACATAAACTAGTCACTTAATGTGACATTGTAGAAAAATGGCTGTTGACTTGGGAAGAGACTCAAGGTGTGTTACTGAATGAAGAAGCAGTTTACAGAACAGCAGACACAGTATGAGCTCTTTCCCGTGACAAATACATATACGCCCAGGGCAAAAGCATCAGATGTTAACCTTGTTATCTTTGAGTCGTAGAATCATTGTTCGTTTTTTCCTCCTTTTGCTCCTCAGCATTTATCAATCTCTGCAATTAACGTCGTACTTTTGTAATGAGAAAAATAATTAGAATTTAAACAATTTTTTAAACAGTGGATCTCGTAATGAAAATTCCTTCTTGCAAAACATTCTTTTGAAATAGGGAGGTTAGAGCTTCCACTGTTTTGTCGACAGGCTTGCAAAGTGAGTGCTGTGCAGAGAGATGAGCCTCAGGCTAATTTCCCAGCAAATTATTAGTGAAATACTTTAGTATGCAGAACAACAATTTTATGGTCTTATTGCACCCATCAATAAACACATATTTATTGAGTGCCTATTATGTTCTCAGACTTGTGAACAATATTTATTTATTTATTTATTTATTTATTTCTGTGAGTGATTTTTAAACGTGGTTATAACGGCCCTCATCTTTCACTGCATCTTTGTTTCTGCAGGAGAGGCTAAATTGTCAATCGGCAAAGCAGTTTAAACGAGCAAGTAGAATGTTTTCAGTTTTTTCAAATGTCATCCAATAACGTGCCCCTAGTGAAAAAATTACAAGTGGTTAATGCCAGGATCTACTGGGATATATTTTCTGAATTTCATGGTCATTTATCATTCTGCAGCTTAAAAAAAAAAAAGTCTTTTGTTCTATTATTTTCCAATTTGACAAGCGCATTTAAATAGTACCTGTTAATAAAGAACAGTGTTTATAAGCTGGTTGGGAAATAATGACACCTGTTACTTCCTGTAAAAAAAGTAATGCATCAGGCAAAGACGCTGGATGTTATCCAGAGTAATGTGCACAGATGCCAGCACCGTTTCCACAGCTTAGAAAAGACCTCCCCTTTTCTAAGGATCCTCCGTGAAGATCCTCTGCTTTACTTCCTGAGAGAGGTCAAGTACTACGCATTCCTAAATGCCTATCTATTAAAACTCAATTTCTGAGCAATGTCCGCATCTCCCTTCCCTCACCTGGACTGAACCTCTAGACATTTCTAGTTGCTGTGGTCAATTCAGAATGCAGTTTTCCCACTGAGCCTGTGGGTATGAAGAACAGGTCAGCTTGGTTTTGCTCCTTTGTTTATGCCATGGGTTTCTTTCCATAAATGGGGAGGGAGAGTTCATCAGGGAGGATGCCTTTGTAAGTCTAACCTTCTAGCAAATTCATCAGCCTGTGAGTATTCTGTGTGCCTCACAGCTCCTTGCAAGTTGATTCCAAAGTACCAGGGCAGGACTCCCTATTCTTTCTCATGTCAGATCTGGACATGAGCAGCTTGTCTGTGCTTTCAGATTTTATTTCCCAGGGGCTAAGAATGTTCTAGGGCCAACTGTGAGGACTGAAGTGCTACCAGGGTCTGTGAAGCGTCACCTTGCTACAAACCTAACCCATCAGCACCAAGAAAAGGGGGGAAAAAAGAGTTCTTAAAAAGCAGAAGATAAATGGAGATGCTTTTCCTTAATTCCAGATCCACATTTACTGTCATTTCAAACAGATGTGTTAGAGGCATCAATTTGATTCTTTTAGGCTGTTAGAGTCTCGATGAAGGCAAAGGAAGTCAGTAGCCTATGCCTGAGACTTGTCATTTTGAAAGTACATGGAAATTTCAAACTATAATGTTCTTGTCAACAGGGAGGAAAGGCACATTTCTTTTTCTTTCTTTCTTTCTTTTTCTTTTTTTCATTGAAATCCATCTACAAGGAAAATCTGGAAAGCTCCTTATGCCTGCATTTATTAGCCACGCTTATCGCCAACCAGGGGTGAAGGGGGAGGGGGAGGATCTTTGGGAAAAGTCTCAGGCAGGCCAGGGTCTCAAAAGACTCTTTTCAAAGAGAATTGTTGAGGCCAGAGGATTCCTAGGAACTGGTTTAATTCCTGGGCAAGTGTCTGTTTTGAGTGTCATCAAGGGAACAATGCTTCGGACAGAGGAACAACCCAGAGGCTGGCTTTTCAGGAGTTATCAGAGCGGGGCACAGGGAGCCTTGGGGCTGTGCTGGCCCCAAAGTACGGGGAAGGGGAAGGCGATTCCCGCTCCCCCCCCCCCCATTCCAATTATCCTGCTGTTGGGATCTTGTTGGAAGGCTTTGGTGTTAAGTCAGACCATCCTGAGACAGGAAGTGGCTCCATGTACCGCCACTCCAAGGATACAGAATAAAGTCCGGGCCGCCTCTGGGCCTCAACTCCTCCCTAGCTGTCCTTTCCTCCGCTTGGATGAGAGGAACCATCTGGAAGGACTCCCGTGTTCTCCGGCCTTCTGAAGAAACAGAGGAATCAAGGCAGACAGATCCAAATAGGCTGTGGTCAACGCTTCACGTGGCTCTGGTGCCATGTGGGCTTTTTGGAAACACCTGGGTGCAGAGCGCCCCCCGCTTCTCAGGGTTGGGGAGGTGGTCGGTGCTCGGGGAGGGGGTGCTTACCTGCCTGTCCACGCTGGGCTCCTCCAGGCCCGGGCCCTCTGGTCTCTGCGGGCTGTGCTGGGCGGCCGCGAACCCTGAGCTTCTGTGGGGGTTAGGCCTTCCCCTCTCCCTTTATGGGATCCAGGGTTTTAAAGTAAACAGTTCTTTCTCTCTCTGATAAGTCACATTAAATTATTGATTTGGAGGCAGGGAGGGCACGACCTTAGCCCGCTAAGTCATTGTCACCTTTGGCCAGGCTGGGAAGGCCAGCGCCCCCTCTGCCGGGTGGAGGCCTGAGGCCCAGCAGAAGGGGAGGCCGGTGGGGAAGGGAGGCCGTGGCGCCTGCTGAACTCGTCCTCCCCACACCCCCGGAAACCTGGACTTCTTTCCTTACACAAAGACTGCAGTTTATGACACTGTCACCTCCTCAGGTTTCTAGACTCGGAGAAGTCACTTGGTCACAGGAGACTATTAGTTTTATTAAATTAAATATATCCTGGACTCATCCTACTTAGAGCTCTTGACCAATACTTGGAAGCCTGTCTCACTCTCTTCTTGAACTGATCATTTCTGACGTAGTTACGATCTATTTGTTCATGCCAACAATTCTTTATTAAGCTCCTCCTTATCTGCTGAGCTCTCGGCATGCAGCGGTGAGCAAGACTGCAGAGTTTACGGACTGGTAGGGAGACATGCATACAGGTGCAGGAAGGTCGACAACCCCTGGGGGCTGCCGTCGGTCCTCAGTGTGGTCTGTTAGCTGCTATTATTTTTATTATTTTATTTTTAAAATTTGTGGTTTTTTAAAATTCCAGCGTGATTAACAGTGTTGTATTAGCTTCAGGTGTACAATCTGGTGATTCAACGCATCTTCACATAACTGCTATTATTTTTAATGACTCTGACCACTTCTTTTCTTCCTCAGGCCACCTGCTCATTTTGCTTTCTTAGAAAGGAAGCTATTTGTCACCCTCCTTAGCAATAACTGCCATGTAACAGGAGTTATGGTTATCCTGGTCTAAGCTCATGGAGATCTGAGGCATTGGGCGGCCTTACCTAGTAGATGTTATCATTTTGCCCCACTCCTACTTTTAGTTATCCTAACTCTTTTCAGGTGCAAGCGGGAAGCAAAAGTGTGCTTTGTGTGTGTGTGTGTGTGTGTGTGTGTGTGTGTGTGGTGTTTGTTTTGGTTTTTTTTCCATCTAAAAACTGATCTCAAGATATGAGCCCAGGGGGCCCTGGGTGGCTCAGTCGACTAAGCATCTGCCTTTGGCTCAGGTCATGATCCTAGGGTCTTGGGATGGAGCCCCACATGGGGAGTGGGGGTGGGTCCCTGCTCAGTAGGAAATCTGCTTCTCCGTCTGCCCCTCTTCTCCTCCCCTCCACCCTGCTCCTGCATGCTCTCTCTGTCTCCCTCCCTTCCCCTCTCAAATAGATAAATATAAAAAAAATAAGAGCCCAAAATGGTGCCTGCTATTTGGTCCTACTACAGTTCCCTAAGTGCCTGTGGGAGGCCCCTCCCCTGGTTGCCTCAGACCACCTTGGGTCACCCTGCAAATTCACCCCTAGAGAAGACCAGAATCTTACCCAAGAGGGCTGAGGGATTGGCTGTGACCTTCCAAAGGCCAGCACATTCCTATGGTAAAAGCCCAAATATTCATCCCAAAAGGGGAACATTCGGAGCCCTATGGAAATCGCCAGGGCCCTGTGTGCTCTGGCTTTGTTCCATGGATGTGGAGGCAGCATCATTTTTTTAAGCTTATGTTACTGGCACTGCCTGTGGTTAACTTGCTTTGTAGTTGTCAAATGGTTCTCCTGGTTACAACAATTGTATTTCTTTTTGGAATCATTGTTGGTTTTTCTCTTTTAAAGTGAAATGGATTCCCCAGAGCCTTCCGTGTAGACATTATTTCAAAGGGCAGGACAAAACCCTTAGTGTGGGCTTCGCATAAACATCTGGGTCATTTTCATCTCTGGTCTATCCAAGTTGCATTTTTGCCAAGATAGTTTTCCCTTTGTTTGGAAAACCACAATGAAGATACACGTTCAACTTTTAGATGATTCCTTTTAAATTCCCAGACATGGTATTTGCAAGGATTCTGGATTTCAAAGAAAGGACAAATTGTGTCCTATCTATAATCTTTAACAAACTTCTTCCAGCAAATCACACAACCCCTGCCTTTAAAATTGATTTTTTGGGAAGTCTGAGTGGCTCAGTAGTTGAGCATCTGCCTTTGGCTCAGGGAGTGATCCGGGGTCCTGGGATCTGAGTTCCACATCAGGCTCCCCGCAGGGAGCCTGCTTCTCCCTCTGCCTGTGTCTCTGCCTCTGTGTCTCTCATGAATAAATAAAATCTTTTTAAAAATTTGACTTTTTTTTTTAAATAAGAGAGGATGCGTTCTTTTAAGACAAGATAGGTTTGAATCCTGTGAGGTTGGAGTTCAGCTTGGAATGTCTGCATCCCTAGTGTCTGTACTCCGATACAGGCTACAAAACTGGGCTTTGGGAACAGTCAAGATCACAATCAGGTGAGTTTCCACAGGTTGCAGCTGGAAGCTGACCCCGCCCCCTGCGGGTGACTCTAGTTTTCTCCTCCTTCTGCCAAGAGCAGCAGGCTTCTTGAAATGGAAAAAAAAAAAAAAAAAAAAAAGCCTTCTGTTTCAGTGAAGAGTGCTGAATTTTGCCAGGAAGGAGGCAGAAGTTTGGGAACTGGGAATCCTGGGTCTGAGATTCTTTGCCTTTGGATTTTTGCCTTTGTTCCAGATGCTTTATTTCTGAGGCTTTCATTTCCTCTCTGGGTAGCAAAGCTAATGGTTGCTTGCCATTTGCTCTGAAAACTTAGGTGAACAGGAGACGAATTAATTTTTATTAATGAGTAGAGAGAAACAAAAATGGATAGAGAGCAATGATGGAGGGCAGGAGCTGTGTGGACTAACTGCATGCATTGGACGAGGACAGGAAGAGACCAAAGGAGTCGAATTTACTGCACGTGAGGCAGGGCCAAGCTCAGCGGAACTGGAAGGATGCTGAATTGTCACAGCCTCAGATTTGCTACCAAGAGAATCAGTCACTTCAAACTACTGTCACAATCCCGCGCCTCAGTGAAAGCAAAGAAGGCTGACAGCCGGTACTGGTTTCATCCCAGTAGTCACACGCAGGTCGCCTTCTCCCACTAAAGGTCCTGTTCTCATGGTGGGACCAGGCTCAGAACACCAGTAAGCATGGAGGGCAGGAGCCTGACTGCCATGGGAGGTGTGTGAGTGTGTGGTGTGTGTGTGGGTGGGGGGGGTTAAATGAACGGTAATTCTTTTTTTTTTTAAAGTAATCCCTTAATAGCATCTCATTTTCAAATTTCCCAATCATCGCTAAAAATTTTCTTAGAGCTTTTCGTTTATTCTTCCTTTTTTAAAAACTATAATCCAGTCAAGATTCATGCCTTGTATTTGTTTTTTCTTCCTTCATTGTGCTTTCGTTTTTTTAAAAAAGATTTTTTAAGTAATGTCTTAAATGTTGGGTTGTCTACACCCAACATGGGGCTCGAACTCACAACCCCAAGACCAAGAATCACATGCTCTACTGACAGAGCCACCCAGACGTTCCTTCCTTATTGTTTAGATGGCAGAATAAATCTAGTTGCTCTCTAGAGCAACTCTCTAGAGCAAAATAAATCTAGTGCTCTCTAGCCACTGTCAAAATGTTTTATTTCCATGATAGGTTTTCCAAAGATTGGCCACTCCTCTGGGACTTCTAATGAGAAAGGTCTAGACACAGAACCTTTAAACTTTTTTAAATCTTTAAACCTGGCTTCCCTCCCCTTCCTGAAAATGAGCAATACTCTGTTAGTAAACCTTCCTCAAACATCAAACAAGAATCTCCACTGAGACCTCATTCATTCGTTCATAGAAGAAATATTTGTTGAAGGCCACAGTGTTCTCAGTACTATTCTAGATACAAGGTCAAGGCAGCAACAGCAAAAAACCAACCAACCAACCAACCTGCACTGAATGGCCTTGCCTCATGGAGTTTACATCCGGGAGGCAAGCAAATAAAGAAAATAATTAAAGAAAGGTAGAGTAGAGGGTAGTGATGTTGGGGGAAGGAGTCAGGTTAAAGTAGTGTGATATCTGAGGTGGGGTTTGAGCAGAGAGCAGTAGGTTAAACAATGAACCATGAGGATGCCAGGCAAAAGAGCATTTCTAGGCAGAGGGGCCCGCGTGCTTGGGGGTGTCTCCAGCATGAAGAAGACTAGTACAGCCAGTGTGGTAGGGAGAGGGGAGTTACAGGTTCCTGACCCTACGGGCTCTAACTCTGTCTAGGGGCAGGCAGTGTTAGAATTGAATTATAGGACACCCACCTGGTGTCTGAGAATTGCTTGGTGGCGGAGGAACTCCCCTGCCCTACAACACACACTCACACACATTGTAAACTTATGGGCAGGATCTTAACCACATACTTTGGACAATCTCAAATGCACTCCAGGTGCTGAATCTCTGCTATAATTTTCTTGAAGGTCAAGGCCAGGTCACAAAACATATATATATATATATATATTTATACACACTTGCATGGTTTCCTTGAAGTTGAAACTTGGCAGGAAACTCAGGGCCCTTTGATCACTATAATAACATTCCCTCTGTCTCCCTCTCCATCCAGGGTCAGGTTGAGAAGGTTGGTTTGTTCTGAGAGGGAAGGGGGGGGGCGGCAGAGGGGGAGAGAGAGGATCCTAAGAGGCTCCGTGCCCACTGTGGAGCCTGACCTGGGGCTGGACTTCACCACCCTGAGATCAGGACCTGGGCGGAAATCAAGAGTCAGATGTTTAACCAACGAAGACTGAGAAGTTGGCGCGAAAATGGGTGTGTTCATTGAACGTATGGAGGCCTTTGTGCTCGTCCGAGTGTTTCTCCTAGACCCCACCCCCGCCCCATGCACTGACACATACACACTGTGCACGGGGACTCGCTCCCCTTCTCTCCCTGCTCCCACCCCCAGGACTGCCCCCCTTTCCACAGGGAGGCCTTTGTGACCTTTGACCTCCAACCCTGGGTCTCCCCTGAGGTCTGTCCACCAGCACGTCCCAAAACATTTTTTTTTTTTAATTAAGGTAATTGGGACCCCCTGGGTGCT